ATTAGGCTGTAATGACCTTGTAATGATATGAATATATGAAATGTTTATCTAGGTATCTATCACAATTGTAATGTATCCTTTAAAATTAACAACAGAATTAAAAGAGATCCAGAGAGGAGGGTCCGGGTGTTGGAACGCCTTTTACTTTTTGCAGAAAGAGGAAGAAAGAGAGAGAGAATGATTTTTATGTGATATATAGAAACTTTTACGTCTAGTATTTTCATTAAAATAAGTACTTCAATCTCTGCCCTTTCTGCTCTCTAGAAAGAGTTTTGCTTATTGGTTTCCTCCGTGTACCTTCACAACCCCGACCCCGGGCCTCGACCCCACACGTAACATGAAAGATCTCACTTTGATATCATCGGAAGATTCCGGCGAACGTACGGCTATGCCATTTTGGACCATCTTCTAAAGTAACTAACTCTAAGAAGTATGCATTTGAAGTCATGAAAGTGGGTATGCATAAGAGAATATTTATCTCCTTATATTATGGGGATATTTTAATCAATGAAGAGAAAGGTTCAAAATGTCCTAGTAGTATGTGGGGGAGGGAAGGAGGGGTTCACTTTTTCTTAAAAAAATAATCTTTTGTTATAATTTTAATATGTAAATTTTGATTTGCAATTAATTGGAATCTCCCCCGCACTGTTGCGAGAAGGTTTAAGATATGGAAAATCAAAACATGTAAAAGATATCAAAATGTACCGAAAGGTTAGACGAAGTCCCCCCCCCCCCCCGTAACAAATTTTTTCAGTGTGTTGCACAGGTTGTTATTTTTATTTATTGATTTATTTATTTAATTGTGCTTGTCAACTCTTTTTGGAGGTTGCCCCCTTTGAAAACCGTTGCTACGGGCTTGAATTAAAGTGCCTGAGGTGTAACCTAGAAACCCCCCCCCTTTTCAAAACCTGCTTGATCAGACCCTGTATTGGAGCAAAGGGTCTCGGCACTAGAGGATCTCGAGTTATCTAAAGAGATGCTAGGTAATCGATTAACTCGATCAATTTAAAAACACAAAAGAGATTAATTTTGTGTGTGTTTTTTTCTCTGTCTCTTTTTAATAATGGTTTATATACAGCACCTGCAATCTTAACTTCTAGGCAAAACAATGCATTTTTCCGAGGTCGTCAGAAGGTCTGAGAAGATGCGACTGACAATCTCAACGCACGTATGTAGACCTAGGCTATTCGGTCTTGCAAGCACATGTGTGTGCACTGTTTGCTAGTGACGCTTAGACTGGTGACAGTATTTGCAACGGACATGAAGAACTATAAACTAGTTTCATAACATGTGCAGTTTTTTTTTCTACTGAAAATTGGAGTAAATTAAAAGTCGTATATCTTGGATATGGGGTAACCCATATCTATTCTTGTTACAACGACTGTCAATGCACTCATAGACGAGTTCATTGATTACTCTGAAAGGTGTCACAGGTTAACCTTTCGTTAACTTTTTCTATAATGATCTGCCTACTTTGAGGGATTGTACTTTCATAGCAAGATTGGTAATTTTATCCCCGATTGGTTTATAGTTTTGCCATTAAAAAAGTCGGATTATTTCGATACAGGTAACCCATAACATCTGTACCAGATTTATACGGAAGATTCTACCATTGGAAAGATAGATGGTACACGTGTAGCACAGATCTTTAGTACGCAGATTTTATGTTTTTGTCTCTCCCCCACATGAAAAAACGTTGCTACAGGCCTTTATCAAGCTATATTTTGATTGCTGTCTATCAAATTATTTTGCGAACCTTGATGCACAAAACTAATGCCGGTAAACATGGTAAAGACTATCTTTTGAAATCTAGTAGTTGAATTAAGTTTTTAATTCAAAATGTTCAAGCTGTTAAGCTATCTACATAAGTTCTTGCTACTTATTTATAATGCTTGTACCATAGAATTTAGTTTGAATATAAGGATATATGTATAAAAGAGAAATTTCGGATCTTGGTTACGCTGAAGAATACATATTAAATACGATGTGCAGATTTTAGAGCAAGGTTTGCCAATGATTGGCATATTCTAATGGCGAATTGTTTTAAGGGCAAGTTGTCTTAGAAGCGAACTCTCTAGCATTCTCGCGCATGCGTAGCCTGACGTAAGCCCATGGCATCCGGTTTAAGCCCGCTAATATATTTTCTGCGTGGACCTCAGGGTCCACACAATAACTAATCTATATGACTAACGGGATGCCTTTAGCCTTTCCGTCGGCAAATTCCATTATTTATGTAGTAATATTCGTATATCACCTGGTTATGATGTTAATGTTTTTCAACTAATTTGATATGCAAGAATATGCCCTGAGTACGATCAATTTTTAAACCAAGGCAAGTTACTGACAAATATTTCAAGCAATTAATAGAAAATGAATTAAGATGTTACAACAACCCAGTTTGAAGACAGCTTCTTGCAAATTCTATATTCGTTACAATGATATTGTTTGTAAGTACAACCTTTCGTTGGGTCGTATTTTGTCTGGCAGTTGTGCTGCTACATATAGGTATTTGCTAGATCATTGATTTTACACCAAATCTGACTACAGAATGCACCGTATACCTAGGCTTCATCACTACATGATCGGTCAACAGAGATCTTCTGTCATCGATGAAATGATTATTTATATTTTGTGAAGAAGAATTTCGATAAATATATCAGTTCCTCTAATCCATATTGTATTTTGTATATTTATATATATTTGATTAATCTTATTATGATAAATCGTTCATTGGTGATAAAAATTGTTATAATTCTTATTTGTTCACCTTATGCTTCCAGCCTCAAATCACTGTTCCATCTCCTCAACACTTCCTTAGTGAAGTAGAGATGGGCAGGCCTCTGCATGACCGTATAGATATATACTTAGTATATCTATTTTTATCTTTTAAAAAATAAATAAATTATAAATAAATAAACACACCACCACGTCACCCAGCCGAGTAGTCTGAAGCAATCAATTTTTTGGTGGCCGGCCATACATGTAGTATGATGTCAACTAATAAACAGGGAAAATATAGATGAGAGTTGATACAATTTAAATAGTAACGAAAAATGGGGGGATGTTTTATATATATATATATATATATATATATATATATATATATATATATATATATATATATATATATATATATATATATATATATATATATATATATATATATATATATATATATATATATATATATATATATATATGCATAAAAAGGTATGTCACTCGTCAGCTTTTTTAGAAAAGTTCAGTCAGAGCCTTTCACTTCAAAAATATTTATTACAATTCAATTTTTTAATAACATATTTAAATTGAACAATGCAAATTATTTAACATTCCATGAAAAAACTGCTCAAAAATTCATAAAGAAGCAAGATTTATGAGGGACTATTTCTTGTGGTGAAAGGATATTAAGACGAAAATTCTTCAAATCTCCACATTTGTTAAATTCAATGTCTTAGAACTCTAGCTCCACATATTTTTACTTAAAGAATATTTTCCGTTAAGATATGCTAGGAATATTAACTATAGGTCTCAATTTATATTTTTAGAATAAATTTTACACATTCACTCAACAAACTTTGCCAAGAATTAACATTATATATAGGAAGACAAGATAAAATTTACACTGTTTTTGGCCTGAAAATCGCACATTTTGACCAATATATCAAAATTTACATCACTGACCCCAACTTTTTCTTTCAGTATTTTAAACAAAACGATACTTCCAACCGATCAGCACTTAAGTCATAAAAAGCTTGATACAAGAAAATATTTTATTGCCTATTTAGATATTTTACACCCCAAATATGATACTTTTTAGTGCAAAAAGGTCACACAATAATTTATGCACATTAATTTGCATTTGTTCAATGATCAATATCATTCAAACAATTTTACGTAAAATAAGATTATATTTATTGCCAAAATAAATTACATCTGATAAAATATGATAACGATTAAAGTGAAATTTAAATTAATCCGATCCCACTGTGGGACGTGGAGACCGGTCCTTCGGATGAGACCGTATAAACCGAGGTCCCGTGTCGCATTAGGTGCTGGCACGATAAAGATCCCTCACTGCTCAATGGCCGTAAGTGCCGAGTATAGGACAAAATTTGCAGCTCTTCACCGGTAAGTGGTGACGTCTCCATATGAGTGAAAAATTCTCGAGAGGGACGTTTAAACAACAAACAAACAAACAAATTAATCCGGAAATGTACAATTCTGTGATCAAGCAATTTTATTATTTTCTAATAAGTATTTAAGTACGAGTGCAAAAATTGTTTAGGTAGCTAAACCAAAAAGTTAACTGATTATTTTTTTTTTCAAATTAATGAAATTTTAAGATTAAATGAATCAAGAAATCAAAAAAATAATACCCCCCTCCCCCCCCCCCCAAATAAAACATCACAAAACTTTATTAAGCATATTCTAAGCGTACATGTAATTCAATTTTCGGTAACACATGATGTTAAAATTTGTCCACTTTGTGAGTCAAGAACACACATGTCAAAGTTCTTTTTTTATTTTCTTACCTTTCTAAACTTCCGCAAAAATATAAGCGAAACATTTTATACGGACTATAAAAAAATGAAATACTTTAGTTGATAGATGTTTCTAAACTATGAAGCCTTTATTTCAAGTTAAAAGAATTTTAATAAAATTTAATACGCTCTCTTCGATTATTTGTGCTGTTTTGTGTGTCTTATTCCAAAAACAGTATCCAAATAATATTTTCTTCAATTTCTTTAATGATTTTATTAGTGTGTGAATCATCTTAATCCAGGAGCTTCCGGGGGGTTTGCCCCCTGGGCCCCCACCAGGGCTTTGCCCTGTACCCATTGGGACCTCAGGGTGGCCCCCAGCATACCCCATGCTATATTGAGCATGTACTTCATTTTGTGCCTAGCTACACTAATGAGTCGACTTTCATGCAATATACTTTCGTTAGGATGTTTCAACTAATCTTTTGTTTCATTATTCAAAAAAAGACAATTCTGAAATCATGTGAATTGCAGCTGATTTAATAATCACAGTAGCATTAACATGTTCATTCTAGCGTCTTCATTTTTTCCAAAAAGTACAACCGTTACACCAGCGTCGCCTACAATGACCAAAGACACCATCTTTCTGAAGAGCTGGTGACATTTTTACAAATTCGGAGTAATCAACTTCTCCATTTTCTGTAAGTAAAATATGAATAAATGATAATATGAAAATATAATCAGTTTTAAAAATGCATTATACTTTCACATATTTTTATAACGAATGGATAAATAGAAGTCATATGTTAAATCGATGTAGTTTTAGCTCACCTAAGAAGAAGGCGCAAGTGAGCTTTTCAGAATACGTCCGTTGTCTGTCGATGTTGTCGATGGCGCTGTCAATGTCATTGTCGTTGTAAACTTTTCACATATTAAACTTCTTCTCCGGATACACCTGGCCAATTTTAACCAGACTTGGCACAGAGTATCCTTGGGTAACGGGAACTCATTTTGTTTTAATGAAGGGCATCATCTTCCTCCAAAGGAAGATAATTAAGAAATAATGAAAATTTTTTGGAGTCAGTTAAAAGTCTTCCTCTGAAGAACCAGAAAAAGATTTAATTTATATGAAAGCTTCCTGACATGGTGTAGATTCAGTTTGTTTCAATCATGACCCCAAGGGATAGAGAGGGGCTACAATGAGGGATCAAAATTTTACGTTTGAATATATAGGAAAAACTTTTAAAAATCGTCTTCTCGATAACAACAAAGCTACGATTACATGTAATCATACTTTCTTCTAAGCATCTTCAGCTACTGTAGATTCAAGCTGGTGCAAATCACCCGTGGGTAGGGTGGGACCACAACGAAGGATCAAAGTTTACATAGGATTATATAGGGAAAAATCTTTAAAATATTTTTTCCAGGAACAGCAAAGCCATGATTTGTCATATTGATATGGAAACATCATTAGGTAGTGTGATTCAAGTTTGATTAAATCATGACACTCCGGGAGAGGGGAGAGGCCACAATTGCTTACAAAGGAGTACATGTATTTAAAAAAGACAATTATATCTTCTCAAGAACAGCAAAGCCATAATTAGCCATATTTGTATAGAAGCATTTACAGGTAGTGTAGATCCAAGATGGTTCCAATCAGGACCCCCGAGAGAGGTGGGACCACAACGAAGGATCAACATTTTACATAGGAATATATAGGAAAAATCTTGAAAAATCTTCTTCAAAATAACAGCAAGACAATGATAAGTTATATTGATATGTAAATATCATGTAATGTTGATTAATCATGACCCCCATGACCCCCAGGGGGTAGGGAGAGGCTACAATGGGCTAGCAATTTTTTTGCAAAGGAAGATATAAATAAAAAATAATCTGCTGATGAAGAACAGAAAGGTGATAGTGACTCATATGAGCAATGTGGCCCATGAGCCTCTTGTGAATCGGATATTTTTTAAATTTTATTGTCAATGCAAAATGTCAAAACTGATCTCAATATTAGAAAATTATTTCTAGCCTTTTCTCTTCAAACGTCCGAAAAATATTTCATAATAAAATATAAATCTACATTATTTTTTTAATCATCTCTTACATCCTTCCTTCTTTGAAGTTAACATAAGCTAAAGACAATTTATACATGTTATGTATTGCAACATCCAATGTTTATTTATACAACAAAGAAATTTGAATAAATTGCAAAGCATTATGAGATTTTATGAAACAAATAACATGGACATTACGTATCGTTTATTAGAAGTTTGTACGCAGATATTTCAAAAATGTTGCGTTTATCTTCTTTATTTCTTGCATATCTCTTTGATGTGCACCCAACAACTAAAATCACCCTGTATATAATATCACAATATTTCGTAAGTACATACGTTTAAATTGTAATGAATGAAAAAATGCCACAATTCTGTTTCTACGTATAATACATACTGTTCATATCAAGACGTGCAAACACTTTTTTAGGGTCATGTTTGTTGTATCCGATAGTTGCCTCCAAAAACTCATCTCGATCAATTTTTGCATTCGAGTCCGAGTCGTAGGAACCAAAGTTACAAGACAAACGTACATCTTCCTCCTGAAATAATACGTATTATATCGTACGTGGCATTGCTTAAGGAAAAAACAGTTATAATAAACTATCATTGATCCTTGAACAGATCATTGAACCTTAAACTATAATACCCCGAAAGCGAAAGACCACAATTCTATGAATTTATTATTTTAACATTTGGGTCTATTATTTTAATGTGTTATGCATTTATCATATACTGTTTTCTTTTTTAAGTATTATTTTATGAAGGAAATGAGATTTTATGTCCCCGCATTTTCACAATGCGGAGGACAAAAATATTTCCAGTATCTGAAGCAGATGCTTGAAAATGTAATTTCAAATGCAGAAGCACTAATACTCCTTACCATTTCATTTTTTTCTGAGAACACGTAGAAATGTACACATCTAATTTCAACGAATGTATCAGTTATTCAACATTTTGCCAGTAAATTAATTTTACATATCGTCAGTATATGCCAAATATTAAAAGATATACTCATATTTAAGGGATTGTAGCGATATTTATTTGCTCTAGAGTTGAAATGGCTGCATTTAAGTTTTCTAATCAAAGAGAGTAAAGAGATTTGATATTAATTCAGGTCATTAACCAGTGGTTACAGTGCCAATAATAAAAAAAAACTGATTCCCTTTTCTTGGAGATTGAATCTTTATCTAAAAGTACACACGGAACGGAACTTCACCAGAATGTTATCTATGATCGTCATCTGCAGATCATAATTTATTTCATTCGCGATCTTTGAAATATGTGCCAATTTTCGCGCAAAAGAAATGACTGACTTCTTTGTTTTCTGTACGAATCCCTATTCTTTTTTCATATCATCTAATAAGTCACTATACGTTTTTGATATGTTTAAAATATGAATCTCAAAAGGATGAACAAAACAAATTTTCTATATCTTCATAATATCTTTTTTATTAATCCCTGCAGAGAAAAAAAATCATTTGGAAAGCAAGAAGTTTTTTGTTAGGGACAATGAGGGATGTGGGAAAAGTGCTTTGTTCATGAAGATTTCGACATTACCGCAGTAAATCTCTATTTCTTGTGAACGATTTCAAAATTTATATTCCTAATTTCTAATGATATATTACATTCATAAAATGAATATCCTAGTGATTTAATATAGATCTTACCTTTGAGGAATTGACAGATCCTTGGAACAAACAGGCGATCAGGACAATTACAACCTTCATAATGACCTTCTATTGAGCTTAAAAATTTGATGTAATATCTTTAAACAGTTTTCATAGAATAAGTAATTTGATGATGAGAGAAAATTTTGCAAGGTATTATTGAATCTGCACTTACCTAAAATCTCAACAATATTCATCGCCCAATTTTGCTCTATATATACATAAAAATCGAATTGTATGCTATATATCTGCTACATTCAAGTCCTTTGATGCCAAATACTTGAATCTGAAGAATAGTATAGTTATTCCATAATTTCTTCAGGCAACACATGTGCTCATTTAAAAAAAAAACTATTGATGGCTCTCCAGCTTCTGTCCTAGTGTTTTGGCAATGAGTTACTTTGTCATTTGAGTAAGATCTGAATTGTTTATTGGTCGTCACTTTCAATTGAGCAGTTTGTTTAATGTTTTGTTCAAATAAAGCAAACTGTGCACATGTTTTAAAAAACGCAATAAATCTTTCTAAGATTTAATTTATTATTGGCACTGTTAATACGCACGCTAAGCACTAGTCTTTTTGATTTATTTTCATGGCTCTGATTCAGGTAACAGTGAACATGGATCAAATTTCCTCTTTTAGCATCGTATTGTTCCTCTGATTTCGTAATGCATGTATTAACAATTACTTTTGTAATTTAAATAACAATTTTTAAATAAAGATCATAACTAAAATGATTTTGTTAAAAATACATTTTAAAAATTCTTCCCATTCGTGGTATTAACTCTATATCAAAGTACATTGGTACATTTCATGAATGTCCTATGGGGGTTTTTTTTATTGATAATAATTTAACAATCGAAATGCTAAAAAAAATTACACTTGCTTTCATCTTGGAAACTTAGCCAGTTGATTTTGTTTCTCTGTTTCCTTTGTTTTTATGACTTCTTAAACTTTTTTTTTTGTCCCGAGGAAGGGTTGTCCCGAAAATTTGACAATTTTTATTGTTCGTGTCGTTGGTCATTTTTTAGTGCTTTATATAAAATTCCATCCGTGACCTTGTATCTACTTAATAGATCCGACACTTAGGATAGACAGTGTTGTTGGTGTTGTTGGTTTTTAGTGCTTTATATACAAAAATACATACATATATATATATATATATATATATATATATATATATATATATATATATATATATATATATATATATATATATATATATATATATATATATAATAAATAAAATGTTCTATTTTTGAATTTACTCATTTTCATTCAAATTTTCATCAATATTGAAATGCATCTCCAAAAATTATGGATAATTTTGCTAATCGTCATCAATTCATGTTAACTAAATGATTCCCACAGGATTCTAGCACCACTTTCCAAGTACTATAGAATACAAACTTTCGATACAAACAAAAATTATTTTTCAAAGTATGCAGCGTAGTGTTGAACTTTTGCATCTTTGTTGTTAGAACGACAGAAAAAAACTGATCGGGATTTCAAAACACTGCATGTGTTCATTATAAGAATACATGATAAGTATAAATCAGCGTACCTGATTCTTAATCTTTAATTTCTTAGTTTATATTATGTTTTTGATTGATTTCATTTATTTCTTGGACTTGAAATTAAACTTTAAATATAGATATTAATAAATTATTACTGTATATCACCAAATGTTCGCGAGACCTTTATATCGCGAGATTGCCATTTGGTCTTTAAAATCGGGACATGATTTTCTCGAATTGAATTTTTATTAGGGATGGCAACGAATATTCGAACATTCGAATATTCATTCGATGAGTTGATATTCGAATATGAATTTAAGATTCGAATATTCTGTGTTTTTCAGATTTCATAAAAAGATGTACTGTGATTAATAAATTTTGATTAGAACAGTGCTGGGATTATCCCTGTTTAATTTACTAGCGATCAATTTCGATCGACTGATTTCTTTCACTACTTTCATATCTTATAAATCTTCTAAATTACATGTATTTGGTTTTGAGTAAGGTGTTGTAAAGAATTGTACAATAATGCTTTATGCATAATACAAAACATCCTTTCATAGCTTTTATTAGTTATAGATACGATCGGATCTAGAATCGAGGACAACAAATGAAATCTAAGAATAAAAGGCGTGAAGAGTATACTTATCAAAATAAAATTAATTGATCATTGAATGAATGATCGTTAGAATTAATCTGTAATTAATATTGTAAAGGGCGTAATTTCAGAATAAATGTGTAAATTACTTGATTATCTCGGGTTGTACATAATTTATATTCATTATCGGGAAAACAGTTAATTACCTAGGAAAATTGTCTATGGAAATATTTGTTTACATTGTATCAAAGATTATAATCATATCTCTTATCAGGCAGATAATTGTAATTTATTACACGTATTGAAATCTGAACAGTATACCGTTACGGCTATATTGCCTTTTGTGAGACGACTGGTTCCTCAGGTGGGGCAACTATAAATACACGTTTCATTTGTTAGAATTATACTTTTCTACATTTAAATCAATCATTTATTTCAAATATTGACAAATATCAAATGGAATTTCTTATTGTACACCTACAAAAGTCTTCATACAATTTTACTTCCTATATAAGTATACCTACGAGAATAGGATGATGCATATTTAAAATAAAACAGATTTTATTTATTTTATCGAATATTCGAATATATTCGAATACTTTCATTGAATATTCGAATATGAATTATTGACAAAATTGACATCCCTAATTTTTATGCTATGTTATCTTTACTTAAACAAATAAACGCAAGAATCGAATTTTCGCGAGCAGATGGTCTAGTGTAATTAATTATAAACGAAACTAAAGTTCTGGCGAATAAAACATTATTTACAGTATCTCTGAAGTTCATATCATACAGCGTATTGGCAAGAAGAAAATTTGAATGCAGCCTCAACATACCCGCATGTTTGCATTTTTTTTCACATTGCACTCCGTTCATATCTTCACCTTTTTCATTCTTTGCATGTCAAAAAATTGGAGATGCATTTCAAGTGCATTACAAGTATAATTTTTTTTATATCTGAATTAATTTTTCAATGTAAAAACTTAAAGAATTAATTTGTGTAATACGTTCAATATCAGTGCCAGTGTGGGTTACTTAGTATTATCTGGTACATATGCATTGATAACACCTAAGACACAACATAATTGTGAACAAAAAAGATTAGCAGGTGTCATAACCAGTGTCATCTGATTTTATCAGTTTGAGGTTGATCACTGTTTGTTATATTCACCTTTCCATTTGAATGTTCAATACAAGATACAACGTTAGTTTTAGTGATCGTTATCTGTACTTCGCTCAATAGAAAATGGCCGCAAATGAACTTACAAGCTCTACCAGATTCCCTGATGAGGAATGCATTCCAAACTGCGATGAACATAAAATGTTACTTAGTATGTTTTGTGAGACCTGTGATGAATTTATTTGTTCTAAATGTGCTAGGTCTGACCATGAAGATCATAACTGGGATGTCCTATCCACAACGGCTAGCAAGAGGAGGAGCCAGCTCATGAAATTTGTCAAGAATAACAAAGATAAGAAACTATCGGAAATTGATGAAGGAATTGAAAAAGCTTAAGACAATAAAGCTAAATATGAATCAGAAATTAAGAAACTCCAGGAGCATTTTGATGATTTAAAAGCAAGTTTGCTTGAAATCAGAGATCGGCTTGAAAAAAATCTCGAAAGTAATTTCAACGAAATGTTTTTAAAAAATTGAATCTTGAAAATAATATGCTAGAAAAAAGGAAAAAACAACTAGAAGAAATGTTGGGATTTCTGGAGAAAAATAAAGACACTACCATGCCTGATTTCAACTTGATTTATAACTACAGAAAACTGACAAAATTTTCTGAAAATAATAAGAATCAAGAGAACTCTGAATATTTAATGAGATACAGGAAAGGAAAAATCAATGATAGTTTACTGAATGTTGTCTGTGGAAATATTTCTGGTACTAAAACAAGTTAATTCTAATACCAGAGGAAGAGAAAAGACAATTATATTCTAGAAGCCTTTGGTAACGAGAATTCGTCTAGTTGTCTATACAATCATAGTTACCTGACGGTTCCATCAAACTAGATGAAGAGAAAAAAATTAAAACTAATTAGAATTTTGATCACTGAAAACAAAAAGGTGTCTGGATAGCAGATAGTGTATCGCAGATTGCAAATGATTCGTCCGTACTTGTATGTACAAAATGAATTCTATCTCAAACCAACTGTTCAAAAAGGGAATCTGCCAGTCAGTAACTAGTGGATAGACAATAATGGCTACCTAATAACCAAAATATGACGAAATGGATGGCTTTAGCTTTTCCGTCGTCAAATTTCCTAGTTTATATAGTAATATTTCTAATATCAACTAGTTATGATGTTAATGATTTCCAACTTATTTGATATGCAAGAGTACGCTCTGAATTCAATCAATTTTTAAACCAAGGCAAGTTACTGACAAATATTACGAGCAATTAATAGGTTATGGATTAAGATGTTACAACAACCCAGTTTAAAGAAAGCTTCTTGCAAATTCTACGTTAGTTATAATGATCTTGTTTGTAATACAACCTTTCGTTGGCTCGTATTTTGTCTGGCAGTTGTCATACTATAAGCATTTGCTAGATGATTGCTTTTACAACAAATCTGACTTCAAAATACACCGTATAACTAGGCTTCATCAATACATGATCGGTCAACATAGGTCTTCTTGTCTTCCATGAAATGATTATTTATATTTTGTGAAGAATTTCGATAAATATATCAGTTTCTCTAATCCATACTTAAAGGTTATTTTCTATTGCGTATTATGTGTGAAACTTAGATATCATATGACTGTAAACTAAGGACGATTAGATGACTTGATTATGAGTATCATCTGACTTAATAAGACTGAAAAACAAATAACGGATGTCAACGTTATTTTTTCTTACTGAAAATGGAACTGACAGCTGTAGACTCAGCCCAGGTGAACATCCAACATTCATGCGAAAAACATCGTTTACTTTTTAAAATGATCTGTGAGGACTGTGATGAA